GAAAGCTAACAAGTTGACACGAAAAGACCGATAGAGAGTAAAAGCCGACAAATGAACACACTCCTCAAGATTAGAGTCCAGATCAAACTGTTTCAGGGTTGCTCGTCAACGGTAAGCAATGGCGTCCAGCCTGGGGACTGTGGGATTTTGAAACAATGGACTGACGAACAAACAGACCGGCAGCGCCCTATACACGACAAGGAGAGCGACTAACCACTCGGACCGCTGCATGAGTTTCATCGTCAGTTCCGTCGGTGGGGTCGTCCACGTTGTACCATGCCGTCCAGCTGGTGGGCGGGACAGTGGGAGGCATCGGTGATTCTGAGCGAAAAATACGATAGGATCAGGCGTATGGCGTAGCGGCGTATCCAGCTGTCGGCGTTGAGGGGCTACAAATGCGAATGTATAGCTTCGGGCTTATGCAACATGATGTTGGGGGAGAAAAATATATCAAAAGCCTAACTCAAAAATCCGTGAGGGGGGCAAGTTGCCCCTGTCCCCCCCCCCCGGCTGGATACGCCATTGATTGAGTCGATACTGCTCGTTCGATACTACAGTAGATATAATCGAAAAGATCTGTGGACTCACCGTCAACACACTGGCCACAGACGCCCTTCACGCCAAGCAAAACCACCTGCAACACAAGGAAATGTGGGGTGCTCATAAATCAAAGTGTTCAGTCACAGGTTTGTTCGTTGTGTTCAACGCGCTTTGCAAAACCAGTGGGCTCTACCAGATGTAGTTGGGGGGAAAAATGCCCAAAATAATACCAAATCTATGTTTGTCAGAAGGTATTTAGGACGTTTGTTGAAAACATTTTGAAGTTACGGAGGATGTTGGAGTTTTCAAAACTAGTAGATTCTACGTCATTGCTACAAAGAACGGAGATATCTCGAGGCTGAAGATCCCAACCCGCCCCTTCAGTTTTCCGAAGCTTCATCGAGACTGGTAACCTATCCGGAAAGTGCTGCAGCGAACAACTTTCGTTAATTAATGCGATACAAGAATATACTCACAAGCAAAACGACTGCACGTTTTCCGTTCATCTTGTTCAAAGCTCACCCTAGAACATCGCGGTTGACAAAGGCTGTGGTTGCTCAGAGCGGATCTGTCATGTTTGTCGTCACCTCGACAATGTTCTCCAGATGAAGGATACGTTCAACGCCGCTTCGGCTTGCGTTACGCTGGCGTGATATTGCTGGCCACGCTCTTCACCCCTGAGACGCGGCAGAGACTGCCGGGCGAAAACGAAATTGCCCGTTTCCCATTGATTGTTGCCCGCCTTTCTGATTAATTACTGGGTGAAGAGACGAAGAAACGCGCAACATGGAGCCCTGGATAGCGAGGCATTTTTTAATGCGAGCGGAATTTGCTTTCTCATCGGTGCGTACAACCGGTTTATTGAGGTTGTAAGTGAAGTAGAATCCTCGACCAGCGAGTTTTGAATACACCTCGTAGTTTTGGCTACTTAGTGCACCGTTCACCGCTTGAAGGGGTTGTCATACCCCTTCAGCAGCTGACCAATTTTCACGCTACAAGGCCAACTTGAAAATAGATCACGTAAAAAATTCCTGAATTGGTTGTTGAATTGCTTAGAACGCAAGAGAAAGAATCAGAGATTTCAAGAATTCCAGTAGAAAAAAATGAAATTCATTTAAATTTGACAACTGAAATAAACACACCGAGTGACTGCACAATTTCTGTCCCGTTTGATGTCATTACTATTCCACTTTCTATTTCCTCAGATGATGAAAATAAACATTTAACACTGCAAAATCAAACTGCTATCTTTCGACACAACTGCCGACATTAAAAGCTAATTTAGGAACTAAAACTGAATCGAAACAAAATTCTAAGAATAGGATGAAGTTTTCAAACTTAAATGTTTTTCAACAAACTATTACAAACTGTCCTGGAAAACCAAAAGCTTATTTCAAAAGCTCCCAATTCGTTGACGCAACAGGTGTTTTACGAGTTGCGCAGTTGTGCAACAACGAGACATGTACATGTACGCACGTGTGAACTTGGATGAACAATAATGTTCGACGCATCTCATCCTCTAAAATTAGCTTAAATTTTGGAGTGAATGCGGCTGTTCTCCATTTCTCTGCTTTTTGTTTCCCAGTTTTGGGGTGTGTGTTTGGCGGGGGAGGGGTGTAAAATCCCCAAAGTACACGTCACTAAGTCCGTAGACTATGCTCTAACACTAGTTTTCAAGAGTCAAAATATATACACACATGTAAGTCAAATTTTTCTATGGCTAAAGAAATTTTTACACTATCATTCTGTTGACTTCAAGCGAAACATTGAAACATTAAAAATTGAACAGGAATAATATCACTAACGGTTTGCACTTAAATATCATGACAATGAACATTCAAAATTACCAATGGACCGACTCTTATGAAATAATGTTTTAAGAAAAGAAACTGTAGTTACATGTTATTTTCAATTGACTCAGCAAGGTCTACGGGGCCACTGACCTTATGAACCTCCACCATCCCAATCATCGGCTGAGTGGGTGTAGAAACGGGCGTGGCTTTGGGTGGGGTCATGGGCGTGGCTCCTTGGTACCGTGGCTTGATGAGCTTGGGCTTGGGCAGGGCGACTCCTTTGTTCTTGAACATCAGGCGGTCCAGCGCGTGAACTGAATTATCCCTAGAAAAAGAATAGTTTAAGAGAGAATCAGAGTATACTGACATATTTGCATCTGTTTGCCAGTACCCCTAAAAGAACTGGTTTTGTTGAAGATATAAAGCCTTTCCAATGACGGGGTCAAATCATTGAGGATGTTCCAAAAGTAATTGTTCATCAGGAAACAATAATCGTGATCATTCGGCGCCATTTTGTTTCATTTTATTTTCTGTGTCTGTACGACTATGCGCAACAGAACGATAAGTAACGGACCGCCATCTTACTTCTTGCAAATGTAATGACAGACGAAAGCTGCAGGAATGCCGAGTAGAACGAGACAAACTCCGACGGGTACCAGCCAAGTCAGTTTGCCTGCAACCGAATTGAAAAAACCACATGCAGTTTGGGATAAGAATAATGGAACCCGACTAAGCGACGATTCAGAGCGAGCATTTGTGCTGGGAACTTGAACAACCATTCTGAGCTGCTGAAGTGGAAATTAGGATGGAAGTTCGATAGCAAGATAATAATACTAAATTATCAAATCCCCTGTTCCTTTTTATCATTTACATAACTGAGGTGCATCTCCTTAAATTTGTTTCTGTCCAAAACTCACTTTTCTTTTTCTGTTCAGGTTTATCCACCAATTCCTTGTCGTCACCATTATCGTCTGGCTGTTCTGCTATGTTAGGTTTTAGGGTCTCAATATCGTCTGGAAGGAATAACTAAAAAGATTTAGGGGAAAAACCACATTTGTTTGGAATTTAAGAAAAATGAGCATTTGCTGCCGAGAGAAGGAATGAACAATATTGCTGATGATTTGCCACGTACCAGGTGGGCGGGAACTGCTTTCATAAGCAGGCATTGTCGTTTCTATGGTAACAGTTGTTACCTCTCCATCTCTAATCTCCTCTGTAGTCGGGTCAGATGTCAACCTGAGGCTGTCTGTGTACCTCTCGGTGATCCTGCCCGTGGGAGACAATGACATTGTCATCTCTGCTGCCCGGTTACTTGGCGCCTTCGAAGTGTCAGTTAATAGGACCATCTCTGGAGTACCCGTCTGTCTGTTCTCCGCTGGCGTCGTCGGCATATCATCTGCCCAAGGTTGCTTGAAAGAAACGGTGGGTGTGTGGCCCTCTGGGCTGGCTGTTCGTGCCAGGGTGCCGCTGGCTGTGGTTTCTTCCAAATCTTGATTAAAGACGCAGAGTGCAAAGAAGTTTCAACCAAAGGTCATGCCCTCACCTTCATTTTGACAAAATAGTTGTTGTTAAATGAAGAACTATATTCCATCAGACGTCACTGATTACGATGAGCACTGTAACATCATAGCAAAGATAGCAACTGTCTGAAGTTGTAACCAAGGGCCAATTTCATAGAGCTGCTTAAGCACAAAAGTGCGAAAAAACCTTACTTGATATATCAGGTAACCAGCCAAAACTCCATGTAATGTATATTGTTTTGGGATTGTATTTAACTGTTTGTGGTTAGCATAACAATTAGATGGAGTTTGAGCTGGTAACCTTTGTTTATTTCCCTCTTAAGCAGATTTTGTGCTTAAGCAGCTCTATGAAATTGGCCACTCTGCAGGTGGTTGTGAAATCGAGTTAACAGATCGTGCAGTATTTTGAAATGTAAGCCTCGGACAGGTCGAGATGAAATGTCATTAATAAAACAACTAGGGCAATCACTGGTCCGAGTATGGTATTAACTGAGGAATATAACGTCTTTCCCTACATAACTCAAAGATCTGCTACTCGTACAAGTTGTAATTGGTGTCACAGTGATTAGGATATAACAATTACAACAACGCCAAATAAACAGATACCCACCTGAGCTTACTTGCACTGTAGCAATGCCTAACCCACGGTTAATGGAACAGGTATACGTGCCATAATAATCCGCACTAAATGAGAAAATAATCAGACGGTATTCGCCGGTGGTAGTCGAAGTCGCGAGCGCCGTCGAGTTGAATTTGCCGCCCTCTGTCGGCACGAGTAGTTCACCCAGAGTCGTGCTATCTTCCGAAGATAGCTGTCTGTGGTACCAGTCGACGCTGTAGATTCTGTCGCCGGAGACACGACAGAGAAGGTGAAAGGTCTGCCCGAGGACGGCGTCGCCAGTCGATTTAACTGTCACGTTACCGACAAAGCGGGCTGAAAGCATGCATTATAGAAAATAGCAACGTTAATGATTATCGATGTGACGAAACCCCTGCTCTACTGCGTGATATCACTTTAGTTGTTAGAGAATTTATCCTCACATTCCTTTGTAGAAAAGCTGTATT